GTACATCTTGGCAGGGCCCCTCTGGTTGAAGGTGATGTAGGTGCTGCTTTAGGGAGGCAGCTGTGACCATGCCCTTCCCTGGGGCTCTGTAGATATTATTAGAGAGTTGGCTTTCTAGGTCTTTGGTTCCTCTGAGCCAGAGTCTAAATTGCACACACGGGCACACACACGCACGCTCTCCATACACTGTCCTGCACACAGTTGTATTTACACATTCATGCACACATGCGCAGCTTTTTCTGTCTGGAGATTTTACTTCCTTTATACATTTTTTTGGTCTCACTCCAACAGCCCAGTTCTCTGACATGAGGCTAAGGGCCTTTGGGTTTCCTTCTAAACATCCATCCGGAAGGTGAAAAGCTTGTGGACGCTGTTGGTTCTGCCCTATAAACAAGTAGCTGCTCATCTGGGCCTGTGCAGCAGTTGCTTGGGTGGGTCTCAGTGGTGACGTCCCAGGTCACTCCCCTGGCTACCTGGCCGGCTGGCGCGGGAGTAGGAGGCAGGCCTTCCGGCAGGAATCCCAGGACCATTTCCTCAGATCTCCCCAATCCCACTGGGAATTCAGACCTGTGTGTGGAGAGCCTGAGCAGGAAACGCCCTAGGAAAGAGCAGGGGCTTCGCAGACCAAGCAGGTGGGGGACTCCGGCGGACCCCAGCTCGGCCACCTGTTGAATCGCAGTCCCTCACCTGCCTTTTGAGAGGGGAGTGAGGTTTCCGGGGAGCAGGGGCCTGCCATCAGTCAGGCCCCCAGGCTTTCTCTGGGATGCAGGAGGGTGTAGGGGTGTAGGCCGTGTGCGGGTCCTATGAGTGTGAGGGGTAGCTTGTTCTTTAAGCAGAGGGTGAGACGTGACTGAGGTCCACGGCTCTGTGACATTGTAAGTGCCCCGGTCTCTGAAGAGAGTCTCTATCCCTGGCCCCTGAAGGACCTACTTTTCTGACCCCTTGTCCATCCGGCCAGTCACTCACCTCCCTTCCCCAGGACCCGGGCCTGCTGTGCTGGCGGCTGAAGCGGCTGCACCTGCCCGTCTTGCATGGAGCCCTCATGTCCAGCGCTTAGCTGGACACCGTGGAAGGAGTTCATGCCACGGGTTCATGTCAGCTCTGCGACCTGGGATAAGCCGCCTGACCTCTGGGGTCTTCTGTTTCCTCATCTCTGCCCCTTCCTGGCTGTGTGCTTTGGGCAAGTTACTTCGATTCCTTGTGCCTTAATTGTTCCATCTGCACAATGGGAGTGTTGGGCTTTTGTTCTTCCTGGGGTGGTTTGTGGGGATAGTCGAAGCAGGTAATAGTAGCCCGTAGTAAGCTCGCATTTATGGCAGCTATCTATTATTCACATTTATTGTCTTATTATGAGCACAGTAATAACACTGTGATTGTTCTGCTCCTGACTTGTGGGGGAAACAGGTGTCCAGGGCCTCCTGCAGCTAGTCTTCTGCTAGATCTCTTGAGCTAAGCCCTTTCTACCCGCCTTCAGGTAAGTGCCGTCTTTTCAGGCAGGGCAAGCCAACTTTTTCACGGGCCCTTCCCTTCCTTCTTCTATGATGTTTAACATCCTTTAGGGCAGGGAGGGGCAAAGCTTTTTATTCCTAGTCACAGTAAAGCTGAGAAAGTGAGGTATGTACACCCAGCACGCTTGACCTTAACTTTCCCTCCGGTGGAGTTTGGTGCAGACCCTTTCCTGAGCAGAGTGATTGGGAGACTGTGCGGGTGGATTGCGGGGCCCTGGACATCCAGGTTGGGAAAGGGGATGGAGGTACATTTTGGGAAGGAAGATCAGGAATCACCGGAGTGAACAGGTCTCAGGGCGGACAGGGGCCTGGCCAGTAAGTGGGCCCTTTGTTGGATAATGCAGGCAGTCAGGAGGCAGATTGTGTCCTGTTTCCTTCCAAGGCAGCCTGCATTTTGCCCGTGTCCAGGAATCAGGAGGTGGAATCTCTTGTAATCTCTAGATCTTGGCAGGGCCCCAGGCCACAGCTCAAGTCTCACTCCTCGTGTGGCGCAACAGGGCTGGGGTTTCCTGTTTGCCATCTACACTTCTTCCTGCCCCGATACCAGCGGACTGAAGTGCAGGGGGGTCAGCACTATCTCCTCTGTCAAAGCTGCTTGGTTGCAAAGCAGTCTTTTGGGAGACCTGGTGGGGCAGTCTTTAACACTGTAGTATGATGCACTGTGTCAGATAAGTTTCTTCTCCAACCTGGGAGATACAGATTGTCCCTAGAGGGCAGAGCAGGGTTCAGAGAAGAGGTGGGGACAGGCCCCAAAAGGGGAAGTTTCGGGCCTCCAGCGAGCATTTCCTCTGCATCTGGGCCCGGGGCTGGCTTCCTGGCTTCTGTGGTGTGGGGCCTTGCTTTGCGTGTAGGGCCCTTTGGATTGGCTCTGTGCCTGGGGACACTGGCCCTCTCCATTGTCCCTTTACCCCTTTGAAATATTAGTTATGGGGAAGGGGGCGCTAAAGACCAAACTCAATTTGCTTTTAGAAAATTCTGTTTTCTTCACTCTTGAAAAACTGCTTTGAGAGGCAGGTGGTGGTGTCTCAGTCTCTGTTCCTGTCAGATTTCACACTGGTTCTCTGCCCTGGATGTACATTGGCAGGACCTGGGGAGGCTGTGAAAATGCTCATGCCCGGGCCTCACCCTGAGGGTCTCATGTAATTGGTCCGAGTTACAGCCTGGACGTTGGAATATTAAATCAACCTCTCTTACCATCCTGCCTCCCCCCACTCCCCACTCCACCCTGGGAGAGTCAAAAGAGCATCCAGAATTAGAGCCTCTGAGATGTCTTGTGGTGTCTCAGGCGCAGCTGTTCCTCCTTCCCCCTTTGGTTTCAGCTGAGGCCCTGCCAAGTGCACAGCCCTCTCACTGGGCAGGGGGTGGCTCTGTGGGGTGACCCCCTGGATATTTTCTGTGGGAAATAACCCCTCCCCTCCCCGAGCCTGTCTCTTTTCCTAGCTATACTTTGTGAGACGCTGGGACTGCTTGCGTCCTATAAATTAGCTGTTGTCCCCACCTTCCTTCCACCCTACACTGGGAGCTGAGGTGGGAGTGGGGAGGGGCCTGGCTCCTGCTATACAACCAGGAAGACAGTTTAGCCAACAAAAAAACAAATAAACCACCAAAGTAAGGGGGGGTGTTTCTTCATCTCACCCTGGACTTTCCTGCCAGGGTTTGCATACCTTTCTGTTCTGCATTTGCCCCCGTCTCTGGGGACTTTCCAGTTGATAAATAAGCTGAGAGACACTTTGTCTCTAGGCTGGAACTATAGTGCTATTAGCCCGAGTCCTGGGATGCTCTGACGCCGTTTAACTGCCCTGTGTTCTCCAGGCTCCCTGCCAGAAAGGGAGTGAGGGCACTGGAGCGTGGAGGAACCAAGAGCTAGGAACACAGGAGATTCTGCTCTCTTTGGAGTGAGCTTTGGATGGCTTTTCCCACCTGCTGGAGCTTCTTGAGGACCTGATATTTGTCCTGGTCACAGGAAGCTGAGCTCGTGAATTTCATTTACTTGGATGGCCTGGAGAGGGAGGCTGGAAGCACCTGCGAGTAGGAGGGTCTGTGAAAAGGAAGGGGAAGGGATCCTTCCTGCAACAGCTTCAGGGTTTTGACTGGTCCAGAGCTTGGGCAAGTCTATTCCCCATTCCTACAGCTCAGCCCTGCACTGCCCCTGGCGATCCTCCCAACCAGAGGGTGGGTGGGAGAAGGTGACAAAGCCAGGAGCTGCTTCAAGCCCAGACATGGGGCAGGTGTAGTGGACGATGCTGGTACCCACCAGGATCCCCTTTATCTATTGTGTGTTACGGGCGTTGACTGTGGGGGGTCTTAGCTGCTCCCTAGTCCTGAGAATTGCTCTTGCAGGGAAACGCCTGGGAGCCCAGCCCTCCTCTGTGGGGTGGCCTGTAGTCAATGACTGATGGGCACAGGGGAACAAAGGCCTGGCCTGCTTGTCTGAAGGTGGGACAACTCTGAGTTATTCACACCCTGCAGCTCCCGTGGGATCAGGCTGCCCGGACTCCAGCTGAGCCCCATCCCTCCCGGTCCTGCTTCCCTCACTCCCTTGGGGGTTCTCCTGAGAGCACGTCCTCAGTAAGTCACGTGCACAGAGTCCTCATTTCGGGCTGTGCTTCGAGGAATCCCCTGACCTAAGACCCCAAGTTAGCTTTTCCTTGGGGGGGCTGTTGAACCCACTCCCTCCCTCAAGGAAATAATGATGCGAATAGTATTTGCAGGAGAGAGGCTCAGTCTGGGAGCTGGGGGGTCAGAGGGAGGAGGCTCCAGGTCTGGGAGGGAGAAGAAAACCAGGTGGTTTCTGTGTGGTGGGAAGTGCTGGGAGCATACAGGCTGAGGTGTAAGCTCCTGTCCCCCCCAACACAGCCAGGGGCAGCGGGGACAGTTTGTAGGGAGACCTATGTTTTGCGTCAGGATTCAGAAGACATGTGAGTGTGCTTGGGTGTGAGGCGGAGCGTGGGCACACTCACAGCACGTGAAATGCAGGCCCAGGAAGTTCTCTGGCTGGGATGTCACCATACCCAATGGCTTAGGAGTCTTCCCTTTGTCAAGACATTCTCTTAGGCCTTAGGGAGGGTTGTGGTAAGGGGTCTTTGAAGCAGTCAGGAAGTATGGATGGGCCTCCACGTGGGACATATTAGAGTCCACTGACAGGCTGGATGGCATCACCCAGGCATTTAATGGAGCTGAGGAACATTCTGCCAGGTTGTGGAGTTGGTTCCAGAGACTGACTGGTTGGTGGCCCCAGTGTGTCTCCAGCATGACTAGGGCCTGAGAAGCTCACATTCTGGCTTGGCACTTGGAAATGATTTTTAAAAAAATATGTCTTTGTTGATTTCAGAGAGAGGAAGGGAGAGGGAGAGAGAGATAGAAACATCAATGATGAGAGAGTCATTGATCAGCTGCCTCCTGCACGCCCCACACTGGAGATCGAGCCTGAAACCCGGGCATGTGCCCTGACTGGGAATTGAACTGGGACCTCCTGGATCATAGATCAAAGCTCAACCGCTGAGCCACACTAGCTGGGCTCTTTGGGCATTTTTAGGTGGTTTACCAATCTTTAGTATGCCCCAGTAGAATCTGAGCCTGCCCTGTCAGATGAGTCTCTGTCAGATGTTATGAAGGTCCCCTCAGGGAAGACTCACTGGTTATCCTTGGAACCAGGTCGGGTGTCAAAATTCNCACGTGGGACATATTAGAGTCCACTGACAGGCTGGATGGCATCACCCAGGCATTTAATGGAGCTGAGGAACATTCTGCCAGGTTGTGGAGTTGGTTCCAGAGACTGACTGGTTGGTGGCCCCAGTGTGTCTCCAGCATGACTAGGGCCTGAGAAGCTCACATTCTGGCTTGGCACTTGGAAATGATTTTTAAAAAAATATGTCTTTGTTGATTTCAGAGAGAGGAAGGGAGAGGGAGAGAGAGATAGAAACATCAATGATGAGAGAGTCATTGATCAGCTGCCTCCTGCACGCCCCACACTGGAGATGGAGCCTGAAACCCGGGCATGTGCCCTGACTGGGAATTGAACTGGGACCTCCTGGATCATAGATCAAAGCTCAACCGCTGAGCCACACTAGCTGGGCTCTTTGGGCATTTTTAGGTGGTTTACCAATCTTTAGTATGCCCCAGTAGAATCTGAGCCTGCCCTGTCAGATGAGTCTCTGTCAGATGTTATGAAGGTCCCCTCAGGGAAGACTCACTGGTTATCCTTGGAACCAGGTCGGGTGTCAAAATTCTCTGTGATAGGGCACTTGTTCTGGAGCTGTCCAAGGGTTGTCCCCTTTCCTTCGGGTGTTTTTTTCTCAGAGGCTGTGGCAAACAAAGGCGCAGACAGCAGTGTGGCATCTGACTAGCCCGGGTCACCGCTGTGCTGCCCAAGCTGTGGATCTGGAAAGGGGACAGAGAGCCACGAGGCACTGTCGCCTGGCCCGTTCTGCTGACTCCTAAGGATATAGCCTGACTCTTTTGTCTTCTCCTTTCAAATACAGGTCTCTCCTTCTGATAAAAGGAGAAAAGAAGAATGGACTACAGTCACCAGACTTCCCTAGTCCCGTGTGGAAAAGACAAATACATTTCCAAGTAAGACTTTTGGCTGTAGTGTTGTGTCCCCAGTGGCCTGTCCCATGTGGATGGAAGCCACTGGCAGAGATGCCTCCTCTGTATATGAGAGAGCTGGGCTTCTTGTGTGTGAGAAAGAGCTAAATAAGCAGCTGAGCGTGGACTACTAAAGCGTCAGCTAGGTTGCTGCTCTAGATCACATGTCCCCAGAGCCTGGCCATAGAGAGGGAACTAAAGAGGGCCTTTAACATATGGCACCTTTGAAAACTCAGAAGAGATGGTGTCCTAGAGGGCTTCCAGGAGGAGTTAGCGGTGGCTGCTCACTGTCCTGTGTGTGGTGTCTCCTGGGGAGTGTCAGCTGAGTTGCATCCCTGTGCTGCTGTGGTTCTGGTTAAATCACAGGCTCCCCGTGAACAGGAGACAATGTCATTGCTTTATAGGCAATAAAATCTCTTGAACTCAGCTTTTTGCTAATGTGACGGGGCTGAGCCCAAATGGACTTTTTTGAATGATAAGTTTCAGGATATATCTTTATATCCACCACAGGGATTTGCACAGTCTGGATGTTCTCTATCTTAACTAAATATTTAATTTTTCTGAGTACAAATTGTATTAATTCTTTTAGACACCCTTGGCCATCTACAGACACATGTTGTGTGAGATATGGATGATTCTTATCGCTTCATTGAAGGATTTCCCCAGGGATTTCTACTGACCAGTAATTTTCCATCCTAGTTTCAGATCTGCGTGTTTAAAAGTACCAAACAGTTTTTGTTTTAGGTTATTTGGAATCACATTTTTCACTAATTCATTTTGGCTTGAGTAGAATTACTCCAATTTATCTGGATTTAGCTTGTCAAGAGCTTCTTAGACTTTCCAGCCCCACATATCCCCATTGAGGGGCTGGATTTAGAGGGACCAGACTCCACTGCCCCCGTCTGGGAACAGGCAAAGCACAGAGCGGCCTCCTCCAGCCTCTCTCCCTCCCGGCCCTCGTGTTCTCGCTGCCACACGGTTTAGACAAAACGCCATCAGACTGTTCTCAGGTTTGAGGAGGGCTCTCCCCGATCACAGCGGGATGAAGCCCCATCACTCTCCCATGTTCAGCAGAGCTGGGCCCCGGGGGGAGCACCTGGAAACCAGTATTTAGCAGCTAAGAAGGCCTGGTACCAGTCTTCAGAGGGGACTTGTAAGTTAAAAAAAATTTTTTTTATATGAAAAGCACCTAGAATAGAACATTGCCAGGGCCCAGGAGCCCCCGCATGCCTGCTTCTTGTCACTGCTCCCCAGTGGGATAAGGTGAGCCCTACCCTCATTCTAACAGCCACTTCGAAGTTTACAGAAATGGAATCATAGAATATGTGCCCTTTGTGTCTGGCCTTTGCTCAGCCTGTTACCTGTGAGGCCCGTCTGTGTCACATGCAGTTCATTCATATTCTCGCTGCCATCTCACATTCCGTCGTGTGACTGTGGCTGCCTTTATTCATCCATTCCACTGCTGATGGGAGTTTGTAAGGTTTTAAACACATGATAAGGTCATGTCCATGAAATGAAAGTCCCTTTTAACTTTCTCCAAAGCCCAGAAGTTTCTGAGTCTCATGAAAAAAGCCCGTGGTGATTGCCCTCTCCTGACCCCCAGCATGCACAAGGGAGGAGCCCTTTCTGTGGGCTCTGGAGTGTCTGCCTCTGTGAACCTGTGACTATTAAGAACAGGTCACTGAGCTCGGGTTTGAGGAGTGTGGCGAGAGCTGCCCGCCTTCGTCCGCAGACAAGGCCTGCTCTTGATGCTCAGTCTGCTCTAGGTGGGGTTTACTCATACTCTTGATCCTGGGGGAAGACGGTGTGGGAAGGTGGCAGGAGTGTGTGTGTGTGTGTGTGTGTGTGTGTGTGCACGCTCACACGTGTGGACAAGCCCCTAGACCGGAGTGACTGAGGCCAGGTTAGAGGGGAGAAGAGGAGGAAACGTTGTAAGTGGCTTCAGCCAAGAATGTTCTACCTCTTGTATTTTTCCCCCAAAGGAATGAACTTCTCCTGCATCTGAAGACCTACAACTTGTACTATGAAGGCCAGAATTTGCAGCTCCGACACCGTGAGGTGAGGAGTCCCCAGGGAAGGCCTGTGAGGCTCCTTCTCTGGTGGGCCAGCCTAGTCTTTGTGTTCATGTGTCTTGGGTCTGAGGGGCGCTATGTCCTGGCTCATTGTCCCTCCTGCCAAAGTGACTATCCTGTCATTTAGGATATTAGTGGGAGATCCTGGAGTTCTTTGGCAGGAGACCCCAGGTCCAAAGTTGTTCCAAAAAGGTTAGCTTTTCTGTTCCAGAGACATTCCTTGGATATGTGGCTGGGCTAGCACCAGCCTCACTGGGGTGAATCCTCTGAAGGGAGCCTTTTATGAAATGAGCCTTTCAGATGGTTCTCAAGCAGGCTTCTTCACTTTGGGCAATTCAGGTACTTCCCAGCCCTCTATATTTACACATTTAGGGTCATGTCTTATGTTGTGGCAACCCGGGCAAATCACCCAACGCTCTGGTTGGTGCCCCTCGCCTTTCTCCACAACTGCAGCAGCCTTCCTAGGGTACCTGCCTGGAATGCCATTTGTTATCCACCTGTCTTTCCCCAGCCCCCATCCTGCATCTAAGCTTACTCATCCTGTATCCATTTCTGTAAAACCTGCTATCAGATACATGGCGAGTTATATAGGAGCCTGGCAGAGTAATTTATACTCAAGTGTTCTTGACTGATAAGAAGGTATGTGTAATACCCTTCTGAACACATTTTCAGCTTATCAAGCCATGGTGATTTAATCCATAGAAAAAGATATCAGATGGTAGAATTTCAGCTACTAAGGTAGGCTGGTTGGGGGTAGTATGTGGATGCAGTGGCCTTTTCTGTGTCCCTCAAATAAGTCCACTTAGGCAGAGCCTACTTTGGGTTAAATTCTGTCCTATGAGAATGTAATGTAAAGTAATGATGTCAGCCTTGGCCATCTAGAAGGCCATATATATATAGCCTGTACTTAAAGCCTTCTTCCCAAGATCCACAAATGTCCTAAAGTTGCTCAGCTCTTCTCCTGCGTTCTTTTATTCCCCCTCCCTCTCAAACGATGATCCTGGGGCTCAGGTTACTTGTCCACTGGACAGGTGTCATTTCCATCCATGGGGCTTGTCCTGAAGTTGTGTCCATGGCTCGGATCTGATGTCTGTGGGCCCTGCCCCCAAAAAGATTTTTCTGAGACTTAGAAGAGAAGACCTGACCCTTTTAGGCACTGATCTCAAAGCTTCTACTAATTAGTGGTTGGGCCATTAACAAAATTTTAGTCCTTAAACAGCTTTTTCAGGGTGTATCCTGTAGAATAAATTCTCAAAATGCTTGGTGATTAAAGAGTTTCATGATCATGAATGAGATCCATTTCTCTGGATCATGCAAATGCCCTTAGAAGGTTTTCACATTTAACTTCCTATTAATGAACAACCCTTGAGTATAAATTTGGAATTCTTGCAAGATTCACTGCTTGGATAGTCAGAGTGTCCTACATTAGCTTATTATAGGCTCAGGGAAGTTCTGCTGTTAAGAAATCTGATTAACACAGCATCTCCCAATGCATGATCACGTGTCAGCCTTTTAAAGTTAACAGTTGATCTGCTAGAGGATTCCTTATTCTGCTAGGTATTCTGTATATTCTATAGAATAAACTTGGGGAAATGTTACTTTAAATCTCCTTCAACCAGCAGGTGAGATTGCTAAACATATATTGTAGCTAAAGACATCATTTTCCCTAGTAGGGGAGGGGAAAATAGCTAATTCTGTTAGCAAGGCTAGTCTCACTTTAAGAGATGTATTCTTTCTTTAAAGTCGTTGGTATAAAAGAGCACCCCATTTTTCTAATTTGCACGTGTGTACTTGAATTTCGAGGCAACTTGAGTGCTGGCCTGCGAGGTCACCTTCAGGGCCTCAGGGTGGGGGAGCCTGGGGGCTGGGGTGTGAGCATGACTCCTGCAGGGCTTTGCTTCTGGACTCACGGTGCCCATTGCTTTGCGCAGGAGGAGGGTGAGTTCATCGTGGAGGGGCTGCTGAACATCTCCTGGGGGCTGCGGCGGCCCATCCGTCTGCAGATGCAAGATGACAACGAGCGCATCCGCCCCCCACCCTCCTCCTCCTCCTGGCACTCCGGCTGCAACTTGGGGGCTCAGGGGTGAGTGAGGAGAGGCGGGACCTGGGCTGCCTGGGGTGTCCGGGGGTTCTGTGTGTTCTTGAGCAGGTAGATGCCACCTTCTTCCAGCCAGCCTTGACCCCCGCTCCCGTTCTTACCTCCTCCACTGCTCAGCTGCTCTGCTCTGGGGCCATGAGAAAGGGGCGACGTTGGTGTGATCAGGCTTCCACACCTGTCACCACAATTACCGAGTGACAATCAGAGGGAGGAGGGAGGTACTGAGTCAGAGAGAAGCGCCAGAGCCTGGGTGAGCAAAGTGTTCTCCCTCATGGACAATTCCTGGGTCTCTGAGAGGTGTTGGCAGCGGCCAGCCAGGCCCCGCCTGCAGATTTCTGATGCCCCAGTGTCCTCCCCACTGGGACCACCTGATAGACCCTGCTTGAGGACATTTAGGTTTCAAACTTTCTGACCAGAGCTTTCCAGGCCTTGGGGGACCCTGGAAGAGAAAAAGAGCATCAGACCCTGTGCAAGTCAGCCAAGAGAGGTGGGTGGTGGCGTGACAGTCAGCAGCCTGGGAGGTCCCCTCCTCTGAGCCCCACTGGAAGATCTATGGAGACCGAGCCTGTTCCTCGCCTCCCTCCACCGCCAAATGAGTAGCCGAGTGCATCTAGTAAGGCACACCCTTCTTGCTNCACTGGAAGATCTATGGAGACCGAGCCTGTTCTCCACCGCCAAATGAGTAGCCGAGTGCATCTAGTAAGGCACACCCTTCTTGCTGTCTTCCTGGGACTTCAGTTTTTAGGGTCAAGTGACCAGCCTTGTTACATCTTGAAACTTGCTGAGGCTGGCTGCCTTCTGGCCAGAGCATGGGTGGAGCATGCCAAGCTCTCGGCCAAAACCACAGTGATGTTTTTTCTATTTTAAATGAGAACCAAGCCCTCTCTGCTGGCCACGTTGAACGTTTTGTTAGACTCCTCAGCTGAAGCTATCTTTCTCTAAAGTTGAGAGGAACCTACATTGTGGCCAAGCCCTGGAGCGGATCTGGTTGTTTTCCAAGGACTTAAGGAGGAAGGTGTTTGCCCCTCCCATCAGATGCTGGGATGTGTGGTCACGGCTCTTCAGTTTCGTCTGATTTTGCTGGTTTACACTCCGCTTTGCATCCAGCACTTTCACTGTGCTTGATTTCCAGTGGGCCAAACCCTCTCCACAGCCCCACCCCGACCCCTAGATGAGGTTACATTCCGTTCCCTAAGTGAGATGATTTTTGAAATTCTATCAGACCATGTGGCCTTTGGCTGGGCCTGCTGAAGGGTCCTTCGCTCGGCACACTTGTTTCTTTTCCTGTCCCTGTGGCATCAAGCTGGTGTTGGCTGGTTCTTCAAACCTGCAGCTATTGTGAAAAAGCTTTAAGGAATGTAAATAATGTTATCCCAGATGCCTGCGATAGTAAAGTGGGTGCCTGGACCACTGTGTTAAGAAGGATGCTGAGGCCAGTTTCTGCTTCAGCAAGGAAGAGGCCTTTGAATGAAGGAGGAGTGGGGGCCGAGTGTTGACCATTCCCGAGAGGCTCTGACCAGTTCCATTCTGGGGTCAGAAGTCCACAAGTTATACTACAATAGGAAGTTCCTTTAAATTTTTAATTTTAATTGGCTTCCCTTAAAACTATCATTCCCTGACATGAGTCCTATCTGTCTACTGGGTCCCAGGGAGTGTACGCTCTTCTCCATGGGATTGTCCTAATTGTTAAATATGATTCTCCTTTCTGACAAAATCCTCTGTTGATTTCGGGCGTGTTTCTTTCAGTTGCTCCCATTTCCCTTTTTGGCTTTGAGGAGTTATTTGCCAGTTATGGCAACACCAGGTCTCAGCTCAGACTTCCTGCTTGTGGCCCTTTCTCCAGTGTGGCTCATGAGCACTACTCAGTCCCTGCAGCCTGGAGAACACTGTCATCAGCGCCCCTTCCAAAGCTGCCCTGACCCTTGTGGCAGCCAGCCTGTTCCTTTTCATTCCTTTTAGATGCCAGAAGCAGTTCCTAAGTTATTCCTCCAACAGAAGTGGATCAGAACTGGAATCTTGTCCTGAGAAATAAATGGCGATTATTGGGGATTTCCAAATAAGCCATGGAACCCACACTTGTTTAGAATAGATACTCAGAACAGGGAACACCCGGATTTTGTTCTTTGCTGTTATGCATTCTGGGCTTGATGAATTGGCTGCTTATGTTGCTGCAGCTGCTGGGAACAAGCATCTTCTCCGTTCAGACCCCCTCCTCCCGGCCTGGAGCTGGGCCAGCCTCATGGGACACTCAGCACAGCCCACCCAAATCCTTTATCACCTGATGTGGGCTGGTCCCCAGCCTGGCACAAGCAGAGTGTTTCCTGTGCAGGGGTGGGGTGGGGTCGGGGTGGCGCATCTCCCCACAGGGGCTAAACCAGCCTCTCTTCTGTTTGTTTTCTGCTCCCAGCACCGCTCTGAAGCCGCCCCTCACCATGCCCAACATTCAGATCACAGAGGTGGACGCTCCGGCTGAGAGTGACCAGACTTCAAGCCCCACAGGTACCTGCATGGTGGGAGGAGCCTCCAGTTTGGGGCCAACTGCGAGAAGACTGATGTGATAGATGTTGCAAACTGTTATTTATTTTTTGAATAATTAAAATCCACATGGTTCAAGATTCAGAAATACTAAAAAGAATTAAAAGTTTTCCATTTCATCTACTCATTATTGCAGTTCCCTCCATAGGAGCAACCTTAAGGCATTCCACCTGAGATATTTTTTGCAAATATAAGCGAAGACACACCCACAAACCTTTATGGCTGGATGTCATTTCTTTTCTTCCCCTTTTTATATAAGTGGTAGCATTTGTACATTAATGTTTCTGTTTATAAGTTTGTCTTGAGGATTGTTCCATACAAATCCAGAAAGAACTTCTGTGTTCTTCATAGCTCCGCAATATCCCATTGTATGGGAGAATGACCATTTCTGTAATCGTTCCCTATTGATAGACGCTTAAGTCATTTCCAGTCTTTTGTTATGATAAACAAGGTTGCAGTCAGTGGCCTTGTTGATGTGTCATTTCACACATTTGTCTGTGTCTGTGGGATTCTTTCAGTGGTATTGCTGGGTGTGAGGCTATGAGCATTTTAATTTTGATAGTTTGCAGTATCTTGCAAGTCCCTTTATCATTGCTTATCCTATGTCAGGCACTGTTCTAAGTGCTTTACATGAATTGACTCATTTAAACCCTCACAGCAATCCCATGAGGTGGGTGCTGTTATCCCCATTTTATAGATGTGGAAACTGAGGCAAGAGGGGTTAGTGATATATATAGCAATGGTAGAGCTGGGATTTGAATCTGGGAGTCTGGCTCTGAAGTCTGGGCTCTGAACCTTGTCACTGTATTGCATCTCAGTACGTTATGCATTGTGTTTTCCCCCCAGCAGGAAATACTGATTTTATAAAATGTATTTTTGGGGAGGTGGTAGGTGCTGTAGAATTGGCCACCAAGAGCGTACCATGTGCAAACTGCCACATGCTGGGCCCAGGCAGACAGAGCTCTTTTCCCCTTCCCCCTCAGACTCCAGGGGCCTGAAGCCCGTGCAGGAGGACACCCCGCAGCTGATGCGCACACGCAGTGATGTGGGGGTGCGTCGCCGCGGCAATGTGAGGACACCCAGCGACCAGCGGCGAATCCGACGCCACCGCTTCTCCATCAATGGCCATTTCTACAACCACAAGGTAGAGGGGACAGGGTGGTGGGGGCAGGGGGCAGCCTAAAGGGGGGCGAAACCTCTTCCTAGGCAGCTGCCACCTCAGGGCTATAGACACCGGGGAAGCCAAGTGTTTGCTGTTCAGCCTTTGAGTTGCATGTGGGCTGCTGGCTCTGTGAGGAACAAGGGATCCCAGATCAGGAGACCCCCCAGGTGGTGGGTGAGATGACCCCACAGACACCTCTCGTCAGATACCAGCAAGTCCCTGCGTTACCTTCGTGCACCATGTGCCTCCCAGCTGCTGTGTGGTCTGACTTTTCCATGAGCTAAGGGCAGCCCCCGAAGCAGAGCTGTGGGACTCAGATCGGGGGCATTAGGACCCCGCCCACCCCACTCCAATTAGCTGGCCCTCCTTCCCTCCTGATGCCTGGTTCAAACCTGGCCCCAGAAACAGTGCACAGAGTGGTCAGAGTTCTCGTGTTGAAGTCACAGTGGAGGGGACTTTGTGTGTTTTATTGGGAGAGAGGGCCTCCTTTATCTAGTCTGTTCCCCTCCCCAGCCCTACCACTTGGAGATTTCAGACCCCTCGAGCTCCCGAGTTAGGCACAGCTGAGGCTCTTTGCTGACAACAATGCTTGTCAGGTTATTTGGGGGCTGTCAGGGAGCACAGGTTGGGTGTGATTGTCCCTGTGCCCTTTAGCCCAGGGAACAGGTGGGACTCCTCAGTTTTAGACCCTGTCCTTGTACCCATTCCCACCCTGAACGGGACCCCTCTTTTGACAGACGTCGGTGTTCACCCCAGCCTATGGCTCCGTCACCAATGTCCGCATCAACAGCACCATGACCACCCCACAGGTCCTGAAGCTGCTGCTCAACAAATTTAAGGCAAGTTCCCTGTGCTGGCTGGCCTCAGATGGCAGCATGTGTGCCTTGGGGACCCCAGAGGTGTAAGGTGGGGATTGTGGAGAGCGTGGTGAGGGGGGCACCAGGCAGAAGTTTGGGCTCTTTAGACCCCAGGCATCAGCATCACCTGGGAGCTCACTAGAAAAGCAGGTTCTCGGGCCCCACCCCTGAATCGGACTGGCTGAATCCGAAGCCCAGACGTGAGGCCAGGGAATCTGTTCAGCAAGGCCTGCAGGGAATTCTGGGGACACAGAAACCCAAGAGGCACCAGCCCGCAGGTGCTTTATGGGCCACTGGAAGGGCCGCGGTCCTGACAACTAGTTTGGGGTCCTGTGCACAGATCGATTTCTGGAACATAGTTGGGGAACCTATGTTGAAAATGATCCTTCAGTAGATGTGCAAATTATAGCACATGTGTGTTTTTAAATTCCTGTTTCTATGTTTTCCACAGTCGCCTTATGGTAAATCTTTGGGAGACCAGGTACTCTTATTTTAGTGGAAGCCAGTGTCACCGAGTGGCCTAAGGGCACGGGCTCTGGGTTCACATCCCTGTCCATCACCTACCTGCTGGTTGGATGAGTTGGGCAAGTTCCTTGAGCTCCTTGTGCTCCTGCTGCCTCATCTGTAAAATGAGGATAACAGGACCCCATTAAAGAGTTGTCGTGTTAAGTGAGTTAAAACGTAAAATGTGTAGAAACACCTCACCTGGTCCAATAAATGTTAGGTCTTATCTGTTATTACTTGATAATTAGTTACCTGCTGCCCCATTTCCTTATCACTTCTGAAAGCTGCAGATGAATAGCTCTCCCCTCAAAAGAGCCTACAATCGATTTAGCTTTGCAGCGATGAGGCAGGAATGGCTCAGCTTCGGATGTGTAATAGTGCTTTTCAGCAGGCATCTTTTGCTCCCCATGCAGATTGAGAATTCCGCGGAGGAGTTTGCTTTGTACGTGGTCCATACCAGCGGTGGTAAGTCCGAAGAACACAGTGTGCTTTAAGACTTTTAATTAACTCAAAATAGCAAGTTTTACAAAAAACAACCACACTCTCTGCCTCACTTGCCTGTTGTTTATCATTTGGAAACTTTCAAATGCTCTTTGCCTCCAAGGCTGGTGGAGTGCCAGGTGTGGTCAGTAGTCAAGCCCTAAACCTAACTGCCTATTAAAAAGGGACTGGGTTTTCTCGAGAGACAGATAAAAACAGTTCCTCCATTGCGGCATCTTCCAAAGGGTTTGAGGCACAGGAGTATGGTTGGGAGAGGAGAGGAAACACTTGCTTTCAATACTGTTAAATTGTTCATTTGCAAATCAGACCCCTGACTTGTATGGCCGCATCTCCTAAGATGCCTGGTTTATTTGGGCCCCTGAGTTGATCCCTGCTTATGGTGACAAAGGCCTCAGGCCGAACTCAGGGCTGTGTGTGGTTCCAGAAAAACAGAAGCTGAAGAACACCGACTACCCGCTGATTGCCCGAATCCTCCAGGGCCCGTGTGAGCAGGTCTCCAAAGTGTTCCTTATGGAGAAGGACCAGGTGGAGGAAGTCACCTATGACGTGAGTCCCCTGCAGTCTATGGACTGTCCTCAGGAGCGTGGGGGTTTGTTTGGGTTACTGCAGCTGGGGTAGAGCTTGACTTTTTGATCAAGGACCATGCCCCATTTTGTTGCCACTCCTCAATACGAGTCTTTATTGATGGCCATGGGGCTCGGAGAGTGCATGCGGAGACCAGGTTGAGGGTGTGCCCTGGGGGAGTTGTTGGAGGAATGTTCAGACACAAAGTGATTTCCACAGAAGGAATAAACCCTTGAGCCTTTCTGGGGGTACTGTAAGAGGGCTGAGAAGTTTCTGCAAACCCTCTCTTAGCAACTTCAAAAAGGTAGCAGTGATTTTTACCTTATCTTGTGTATTAGTCAGCTTTTGCTACAGTAAGAAACATCCCCAAATCTTGGCCACTGAGAACAGCAAACATCTACTTTTTGCTTAGGATTCTGCAGACTGGTAGCAGCAGCTCTGCTCTAGGCTGTGCTTTGAGGGTCTGCATTGCATGTCTCATTTAGAGACCCAGGCTCAGGGGCCAGTGGCTCCCTGGGGTATGCTTCTCATGGCCAGTGGCTGGGGTGCAAGAGACCAGGCCAAACTATGGAAGCGCATCTGAAGCCTCTACTCAGATTTGCTCTATGTCATGTCCATACACATTCCATTGGCCAAAGCAAGTCACAAAGCAAGTCCGTTGGCCAAAGCAAGTCACAACATGAAGAGGGCAGAGAGATAGACTTCTTCTGTGGAGAAGAGCGGGAAGAGTTGGGTGGGGATTCTGGTGGGGGAGGAAGGAATGGTTGCTTCAGCTTACCTGGGAGCTACCCCATCCCCGCAGCCTCTCAGGATCAAGTTCACATTTGGATGCCTGTTTGAGACCCGAGACACAGTCATCATTCTGAGTCATGGTTCCTTAAATTCTCCTAGGGGAGAGCAGAGGGGTGTGTGAAATGTCATGGGTTCAGGTCTTTCTCTGCATCATGGAATCAGGAGAAAGTGCTGTTCCATGTTTGACATCACCTCAACATGGATTGGTCACATGAGACGAGAAGTGAGAGGTGATATGTGTCAGGTAAATGAAGGGATCTTCACTGCAGGCTCTGTACCAGCCTTGAGAAGAATTAGGCTTGGCTCCTGCCTTGGAGGAAATCCTGGTTAAGCCAGAAATAGACACCCCAAGGCTCTGGGCCTTACGTGAGAGATGCCCAAAGGCCTTGGGATAGAGCTGGGAGGTGCAGGCACCCAGACTTCTTCCTCCCCAGGTGGCCCAGTATATCAAGTTCGAGATGCCTGTCCTTAAAAGCTTCATTCAGAAGCTCCAAGAGGAGGAAGATCGGGAAGTAAAGAAGCTGATGCGCAAGTAAGCTTGGCCCCGGGTGGCTGGGGGGCTTCTCCTGGGGCCTCAGTGGGAGGGCTGTCTGTTCAGGTGCCTTGCACGGGGCCGAGCTGCTGCGTGGGCCGGGGTCTTCTCGACCTTCTTCAGGGGCCTTCCCATCGATGAGTCCACATCTCAGATGGGGACATGAAACTTCAATGTCTTAGTCTCTCTGCTTCTCAGGCCAGCTTCTCATTTTGATGTGAGACATAAAAATGTTCTGGAGCCCAGCCAGTGTGGCTCAGTGATTGAGCATCAACCTATGATCCAGGAGATCATGGTTCAGTCCCAGTCAGGGCACATGCCTGGGTTTCGGGCTCCACCCCCTGCAGGGGGCAGAGGGCAGGGGGCAGGGGGCAGGGGGCGTGTAGGAGGCAGCTGATAAATGACTCTTTCATCATTGATGTTTCTATCTCTCTCTCCCTCTCCCTTCCTCTCTCTGAAATCATTAAAAACATATTTAAAAAAATGTTCTAGAGACTTTAGGAAGGTTATCTTAGCAGTGACAAGTAGCCTGAGCAGCCTACCTCTAAAGTCCTTTCTTCGTATCCTTCCTCCCTTATAACATTTCTCCTGTGGAAATTGCATTTGGGTTGACAAGTCCAGGAAAACTCTCTGGAGAGGATTAAATTTATATATATATATATATATATAAAATATATATTTGCTCTGCACTGCCATAAAGTAGAATGTGTTTATGGATGCAGTAGAACAATTGAGTGATTTTTGTCACTAGACAATAAAGCCAATGCTGTATTTGCTGTATCGATGATAATAACAGGTGCAATAGTTAACATTCATTGAACACTTACTATGCACCAGACTTTAAAAATAGCTTTTGCTGTGCAGTGCCAAGCCCTGAACATGAGCAATGTCCCCTTTAGCCCACTGCAGTGTCTGCATTGCCGTAGTTCAGGGAAGGGGTGGGCACACTGCGCTCACCCGCAAGCCATGGACCTCCAGGCCTGGTACTTGCTGTGGCCTCTTCTGCAAAATGCAGGAACCAGTATCAGGTTGAACCACATGAAGTTGTCATTTTTTGTAGCCCCCACCCCCCAATAATAATCAATAATGGTGATTTCATATGGTCCAGCCTAGGGGAGGGTTATATGCTACTGTGTATAGAAAGGACTACGCACAATGCCTTGGGCCTAGTAAGCGCTCAGCTAATGGGACCCTTACTATTGTTTCTGTTGTTATTTCACCCTCTCATCTTTCTTTGCCAGACATTCTACCTGTAGTAAAATAATCTGGCTTGGAGTTAGCCTCTTCAGTCCCTCTCCTCCTGTTGTGGAAATGAACACAAGCAGCAAAGGGACAGGCCAGCTACCCCGCGGTGGCCTGGGTTGGGTAGCGGGGTCGAGAGGCGGTGTGTGTTGCTTTCTGCTCTCCACCGCAGCTGTTTCTGTCCCCCAGGTACACTGTGCTCCGGCTGATGATTCGGCAGAGGCTGGAGGAGATAGCCGAGACCCCAGAAACAATCTGAGCCACAGAAGAAGGGGATCCAGACACCACAACAGCCGCCGTTCACCTGAGAAGACCCACCGGAAGCTGGGTGCCTTCCTTCCACACAAGCATTTAAAAACCTCTCCAGCTCCCGACAAGCCACCGTTTGCTGCCTGGATGGAGAAGCCAGCAGACAGCTCCCCATCCTTGGATCCCTGCTCTTCTCCTTTCTTTCATTCACACGGACTTTTGATTTTGTTATAAGGAGGACCCAGAATGTGTGCATGTGCATGGGCATGCACGTCTGCACACACATACATGTCCATGTGCCTACCTGACATAGTCACATGCAATTAAATTCCAGGCAACCAGCACAAGTGCCATGAGGCTGGCGGATGTGCTGCCGTGGGCAGAAAAATCAGGGGAGTCACTAATCTGAGGAAAAAGTTCCTATGCAGAGAAAAAGTTTCTCCCCTCAAGTGCCTGGGAGCAGCCACACATAATCTGCCCATGTTTAGAAGGGGAAGGAGCTCAGCAAGCTCCCATTTTGGGGTATTTATATTAGAGATTCTCCCTATATGCCTAGAAGGATCTGTTAATGTGAGATCCTTGGAAATTAACAAAATGGCAGCCCCATGTACTTGGGGCAGGTCTGGTGGGAAGGGAAAAATAAACCATCAGTGGGGTAGATGCAATAAACCCACAAGTTTTTACACTGGAATCTTGGATTTTAAGTAACAAAGATGTGTGTGATGATCTGTGGATGCCTGTAGAGAAAGGAGCCTGCCTCTGTCCTTGCCTCCATGGCTACCTCTAGGAGATGGGAGGGGAGCCTGATGTCCCCAACTCTTTGGTGCCTCCTTGAGTTGAAGGAAGGATCTCATGAAACAGGCCTCACTGGTTTGCACGTGGCATTGACTGGTGAGTGTGACCCCGGCCTGGGCTTGCTCTGGGGTGGTGGCCAGAAACTGCCTCGACAGGGAAATGGAGAGGCTCCTTGCAGCCATGGCAGGAACCTGTGAGCCCAGCCCATTTCACATCATCAAGGGGTCTTCCTGCACTTGAAGCTGCACTTCTGTGTGTTTGAAGTCAAGGCTTTATTCTTTCCAAGGCTGGATTCTTGCACGCTGCCCTCGCCTTGTAGAGATGGACTCTAAGAAGGAGGACTTGTCCTGCTGCTGACCGAGTGTGGGGTTCCGGGAAGGCGTTTGGGCTGCCCTGTGAAGGTGCAGAGGGGGGGTGGAGCCTCTCTTTCGCTTCTCTGAGCAGCCACCTTGGTGATCTTTAGAGCAGAGACCCCACTGTGGGGGGGAAGGGCAGGCACAGTCTGTTCCCTGTAGCCCCCATTGGGAAGATTGCCGGCAGCTGGACACCAGTGCGACTGATACTGTTTGGAGCGGAACAGGCAGATGCTTGGAGAAGGGTGCCTGGCTGTGGGATCAACCAAGCAAGGCCAGGAGCTCCTGGCAGCAGGCATGTGAGCCCTGCTGGGGTAGGGATGCTCCCATCGCCAGTTGAGGAAAGGAGAGCCACTGATCCGTCCCTGGCAGGAAGGTGGAGCTTTGCAGCAGAGCCGGTCCTGCCCCAGGCACCCTCCTGCTCCCTTCCCACCCCTGTGGCCTTCCAGGCTTCTCTAGATGGCTCACAGCTGTGGTCTTATTGTTGACTTTCAAAAAGATGGCATGCTGCCACCTGGCATTTTGCCAGGGGTCCCTTAGCAAGCCTGCCTCTGTTGGGGCGGCACCACCGGCCCAGTGGGGGTGGACTGGAAATCCGGAGGGCCTTAGCCTCAATCAAACACCTCTGTGGGCTTTGCAAAATGCACAGAATTGGGGAAAAGGGGCGGAGGGGAGGCTTCCTTTGTTACTGATGAGAAAGAGGTTTGGTGAATGCAAACATACTGCCTGAGTTTTGCATTTGAGAAAATGAGTTGGGAAACTCCAGTTATTTTTATGTTGAGTGTACAAAGCCTTTGTTGGCCCCAGTAATTCTCAGAGGGCCAGGGAGAAGAATTTCCACCCAGCAAATACTAGCCACTAACTTTTCTTGGACAGCTTTTTCTGGTTTATAAAAGTTCTCTTTTAATTTGCACTAGCGCTACGATAGTGTTAAATGTGGAAATGCAAAATGTCAGATTCGCCAGATCACTTTCTAAGAAAGTGCAAATATAGACTTGGCTCTTTAAAGACAGGGGTCCGGATGGAAATGAGGGAAAACCGTATTTTACACAATACATTCCATTTAATGCGGGCGCACATTTTTGTCTTGGGTCAGCCTGTTTCGAGATCCTTTCTCAGGCCCTCGATAACCCGATCAGGAGTTTTGGAAAGGCTCCTTGGAGCAGCAGCAGCTGAAACAGACACTTCTCCCTGGTGTGGAGCTGGATTTTCTCATCGGTATCACATGGCCCTGCAGTTTTGAACTTCTCCCTGATTTGTGTGTGTTTATGTAATTGCGTGCAATGAGCCTGAAATCGTGTGAAGAACAAAGGCCAATTTATAGCGTTTTTTCCTAACTTGTGAAAAGCAGTATAGCCACAACTGCTTTCTTTTGCCAGGGGCTTATGTTACAGGGTGATCAGGTGAAGAAAAACCTGAGTCCATCTGGCTGGGAAGGGGGGTCCTGTTCCCCAGGTGCTGGTGGAGTTAAGCACAAGGCCACATCCTCTGATCACATTAGTGGGAAGGTGATGGGTTACCTGGGGAGGGACTGAAAGGCACAATGGATGGGTGTGGCTGTGCGGTGAGGACTGTGCCCACCGGGCTCCAGGCTGGACAGGCTTGAACTGGGGGTTGAGGCTGAGGTGTGAGGACCTCAGGTTAGCCACCTATCCACGTGAAAAATGCCAAGACCTGAGGTTGAGATTTTGGTCTGAGACTTCAAGGAGAAATATTTTCACCCTTCTCCCTACTGGAAAGAAAACCATACTCCTGGAAGTCTCCAGATAAAGACATTTTATCATCAGGGTAGATAAGACTTTGGCATGAAATGACAAAAAATAATAATAACTGTTCTCTGATGCAAAAATGTCTTAGCAGGAATTCTTTTCTGCGGAGTTGCGAGGTTACCTGAGTGTCAGGAGGGTGGAATGGGCCACAGAAGGGCAAAAAGTTCTTTTAAGAAAAGAGCTGTCTTTAAAAACAAACAAAAAACCCCAGTTATTTCAAAGCTCTGTAGCACAGAGAATGTGGTGTCATAGATGCATCTCCAAGATATAAATTTCTATATGAACAAGGGAATGTCAGTCTCATAGTGACCAAACCATGGTGGAGCTGAGATAGGAGACAGAGATCTTGAGAGCCCCAGATGCAGCAGCATGAATTTTCCAAAATCTTAAATTGTTTTACACAAAGTCTTGCTTGAACCAGATGAGATGGGAAATGATTTTCTGTCGAGGCAGAAGTGAAAAATAATTGTGGCACCCCTTCTTTCAGATGTAACTGAAAGCCTTTACCTTGTCACGGGAGGTTACAGTGCCCCTGTGTTTTAAACAAGCACAAGACATGGACAAGCTGTGAAGGGAAAGCCTCCATTTACTTTTGAGTCTTCCCAGCAGATCACAGACCTGTTTCCCAGGCTGATGGTTTCCCGTGTTTTTGCTAGTGTTTCTGAAGGGTTTCCCACTTGTTTTAGCTTTGTGAAGTGTTCTTTCCTTAATCATAACTTGACTTTTAGCAAAGGTACATGTCCTGGTTTAATGTTTGGTTCTGAACTTATAAATCGATGTGTTTAGGTATCTTAACATAATTTGACAAGGCCTAATAGGGAGCCGTGAATTTCTGTAACATTTTGATATGTTTTAATGTACCTGACTTAGAGCTTGTTAAATAAAGCACTTTTCAGAGAGCAGTCCCTGTGGATGGGTCTGTGTGTGTCCGCTGGGTGGGGAGCTCTGTGCTATGGGAGGGTGTGGGAGGGGAATATGAAAGTGCACCCCGGAGAAAACTTGATTTCCTTGGCCTAGAGTTTATGGTTTGAATGGACTCAGACTTGACTATAATATTCCAAATAAGTGAAATGAGAATGTCCCTGTGTAAGTCTTGAGTTCAGCCCTGGTGGAGGCAGGAGTTATGGTGGGAAGAGCTGGGAACGATCATTCGATGAGGCTGGATTTTTGTCCTGGCTTGTTGAGAGTAACTCACTGAATCTTTATCTAGAACTTGGTTTTCTCATCTATAAAATGGCCTTGTGGAGGTGTGGGGACCTGGGCTTGCCTCTGTTGGAGGTAGCCCTCTAAGAGTCACGAAGTGTAAGACCTCCGACTAGGGCCCATGTTCCACCCTATGGTTGGAACCTGTCACCTTGGCTAGGCCATGGTACCCAACTATTTGGTCAAACACTAGTCTCGTGGTGCTGGGAAGGTATTTGTAAAGATGAGATTAACATGTAAATGAGCAGACTTTGAGTAAAGCGTATTTGCCTGCACAATTTTTAAGGCCTTAAAAGGACTGATCCCCTGAGGGAGAGGGATTCTACCACCAGTCTGCCTTTGGACTTGAGCTGCAACACCAGTTCCTCCCTGGGTCTCCAGCCTGCCAGCCTGCCCTGCTGTGTGAGCCAATTCCTTAAACTAAATTTCTCTATATGTATACACATCCTATTGGTTCTGTTTTTCTGGAAAACTCTGGCAAACAGAGGAGTTACATGGTTGGTCTATAATATTTGAATATGTGATTGACAGTTGTCTTCCCAGGAAACTGGCCATGGAGCATAAACAATGACCCAGATAATTTGATCTCTAGAAAAAGGTAACAACCAAGACAAGATTTTGAACAATGCCCTCAAAAAATGCTTATATGTTTTTTCAAAAGAGAAAAGTTTAGATAAATCACTATTCCCCTTAAGTGTTGTTTTGATTTCCTACATTTAGAGTTTTCACTCTAAGCAGTTGCTTCTTAGTTGCTGAATTAATGAAGCTGTGTGCAACAGAAGGGCAGATGGTTGAATCTTCCAAAGGCAGGGAGATCTTATACGTACAGCATGTAGATGTAGATATCTATGTAGGTGACAAAGACAAAATATGATATATGGTCCATTTGGGGGCCCCACTGAGACCCCTAGTCAGGCAGTAAGTCATGTAGTCATATAGAAGTTAGAGTGTCTAAAACCGTCCAACAAATGCTAAACCAGAAATTCTTGCCTTGCTTTATAGCGACAGATTCCATGAAATAATTTGGTGTTGCTTATTTTAGATAATGAAATTTTTACTGAGTGGAGTTTGCTGTGAGCACAAGACTTTGCCGTGAAGTTTTGAATACATTTGAATAGGTTTGGCTGAGATGCTTAGATGCACACAAACCTACTGAAAATGGAACTTGCTCTTTTTATTTTAAAACCACGCAATATAAAAATTATTACTTCTGATTTAAATGAAGTATATGTTAGATAAATAGGTAAGTTAACTTTATATAAGTAGGTAAGTTAACTTCAAGAGTTTCAAAACTACGGGCCCAATGGTAGGGGCTGTAAATCTTAGTTTGGCCGGGACAGTTCCAGCTGCCTGTTGTTCTGGTGTAATTGTCAACAGCACCCCTGTTGCTCTCAAAACATCCCAGGGTGGGTGATGAACGTGTGCTCTACACACTGGCCAAAACGCAGCTTATTGTAATTTTCCTATGTGAGGTTTTTAAGATGAAGCCATAGGTTGGAAAAAGTTCAAGTTTTATAAAGTATAAAAGTTTATAAGGTTTAAACTTTTTAAAGGGTTAAGTTTAAATCTTAGGATATCTAAACACATGTTTTGATGGAAGGCAGATAATATGGATATATTATATGTCAGTGTTTTGATAACGCTGATTTAAACATTCTTGCATTAGAAATTCATTTTTCTTGGTGGAGTTTTAAAATTGGGCACAGTAATATTAATTTGTGACTTTGAATGTCACCCTGCCCATGCCCGCAGAACCATCTAGGGGTCAACAGCACCCAGGTTTGAGTCTTTTGCAAATATCCGCCACTGAGAGAAACCTGGGCTCCCAGGACGGTAGTTGGTGCCAAATTTGGGGAAGAATGAATGGAACAGTGTGGGTATGTTTTGCCAGCATTATGTCTCAGAGATAGATGTCTGGGGTATAATTTCAGGTTCAAACTGCCGATGAGAACTCCCATGCACAGCAAATATTGAATGTGTGGGATTATGAAAAGTCTGGAATCCAAAGTGTTCCCAAGGAAAGATTCTAAAGGTAGGGGACATAATTACAGAAATGTAATGTATTGTTCACTTATTATGTTCAAGTTCCTTAACCAAATTTTGGCAATAACACGAGTTGTGGCAAAAATAAATAGTTTGGCCAAAAGCTCTTGTGCTAAGCAAAAAGAGCAAATTATAACATCCATGACCCATTAAGAGGAACCGACAAGTAAAACTTGAATTTAAAATGGTCATAGTAATCTAGAGAGAAATGATTAGAAATACTAAGTAAATTGTGCAAGGTTGCTAAAACAATGTGAGTATACACACATTCATGTTATTTGTATGCATCAGCAATAAAATTAGATTAAAAAATAAAATGAAAAAGCATACCTCATTTGTGGATCACAAAGACAGCAGCTCCCCAAACTGATGTAAGTAATCCTAATAACAAGCCAAGTAGGTATGCCTCAATTAAAACCAAAAAAAAGTAGGACTTTTTCATCTTCTTCCGTCTTTTTCTGATAAGGCTACAGGTAAAATAAAAACCATAATCATGAAGATTATTGAGCCATTAAAAGTATAATATAAAGTTTATTTGAAAACTTAGAAAATATTATTAAAGTGAAAAAAGTTACCTGGGAGTGGGGGGATTACGTTTTCCTTATGTTTCTACCTAGATTTCTTTTCTTTATGTTTCCACATTGGCTTTTGCATTAAAATTTCCTGCTTAGTACATCCAAAAATATTAAAGTTCCAAAAACACATATATATGCAAAAACACACAAAAAACAAAGATTAAAGCCAGCCAGGCTTTCATTTCACTGTTGGGGCCAATTTCTTTAAGGAAAAGGCATCGACATCCCTGGAGGCCCAACATACAATTGAAATGCAGTCCTTATGTGCCCAAACCATGTGTGTGTACATGTAATATACAAACACATATGTCACACACACACACACACACACACATGGATGGGGGGATCACATCCATAGCGCCAGAAAACCAGTCACCCTGACGTCTTGAGTGCCCAGCAGCCTGAAGGATGGAGTCTCCCCGTGAGAAATTGAGAAATTCCTTGTGTTTAGACTCAGTCACCCTGGACACCAAACCCACTTTCTAAATTGTACTCTCAATGCTATCAGGCATTGGACAAAAAAAGCTTTCAAAAGGAGAAAAAGTACCTATCATATTCTGGAAACCCGAGGTTAGCCAGAATATGTCGTCAGACTATCCTGCTTTCAGTGTCTTAGACTCTGGAGTTCCCTGGGCTATGAGCTCGGTACCAGACGCGGCGCCTGCGAGGCTAAGCAAGGCCTGGTGCGGAACATTCTGGATGTGTGCTTCACCCTGCCTGGGCACACAGGACACTCACTATTCCCCTTCCCTGCCTCGTGCACCTCAAAAAAGATAAACCCAAGTGTACCTGTTTAGTATGTTCCTCATGGGCTCAACTGGAGACAATTTAAAAAACAGAAACCAAACAAAAATGACACCACAGCTTAAGATTCAGAGTCCTGTACAGAAAAGGAAAAACAGGCCACCTAAGGACACGCTGAGACGACACAAGGAGAGGCTGGCAGCCCGGGGCGGGGCTCTCGGCTGCAGACCTGCTTTGGGTGGATTTCTTGCAGGCACTTCTTAAAGGCTGTGGGGTTTCTTTCTTTTTCTTTTTTTGGTTTTGAGTACAATGCTCTTTATTTTTATAGAAAAAAGGCGGATACAGAATTACTGAATTTCTTATGAATGTGAAGTTGTCTAATAAGATCGGGGCATATGTAACACGGGACTGTGGGGTTCTTCTAGAGCTAGGTAGCATGTGTGTTCAAAGGGCTGTACCCCTAAATGACCGTAACAATTGAAAAAGACCATAAATAACCTTAAGGACGTCAAGACATAATTAAAAAGCTCTAAATGACACCAAATGCTAAATAACCTTAAAGGGTTCTAAGGAGGAGACCTTGTTCTAGGGCTAGGCGGTCAGGTTGGTCCTGAGTCCTGGCAGCATCGGCCCTGGGCCGCCAGTCAGTGGCTTTAGGGCGCCCCCTGGTGGTGCAGACGCTGTGCTGCTCCCACTCTCCCACTTCTGAGCTGTGGCTGCCGCCAAAGTGGGGTGGGAAGAGACTACAACTTCTATTTTAATGAAAATAATTGAATTTTTAAAATCTTAAAAATAGTGACCCTTTGACTTTGGCGGCTTGTGTGTCAGCCCCGTATCACATTGCATAAGGCAAAGGGGGAAGGGGAGCCCTGGGGACCCATGAGAGCCTCTTACCTTGGAGAGGCTGGTGGTGGTTTGCACATAATGCTTTAGACACGTTTCTGATGTGCTCTGATGATTTCTGGGCCACCCTGCTCAGGTTCAATTCCTTGTTCCACTGTTGTGAGCCCTGGATTACTCTCTGCCCACCTTCATTTCCTCAACTGTGTAATGGGGAAAATATTAGGACCCATCTCATGGGGCTGCTGCAGGGATTAAATTCCTTTAAAACATTTAGAAAAGTGCTTTGGTGGGGACTATATAAGTGTCAGCAACTACTATTTTTTAGTTTTACTTAGACTAAAGCCCTCATAAAAATCCTAAGAAGCTTAACAATTACTGTAAAAATATAGGTAAAAAAATAATGCAAGTGCAAGAGGTAGAGAAGGTAGACCAACTAGAACTAATGACATTTAAAAGTACATGTGTATAATTTATAAATAAATATCAGCACCTAT